AAAAGATTTCATTCTCCATGAGGTTAGATTTCCAGTTGGTGAGTTTCCTGTAAGATATCTAGGTGTTCCCCTAGTTCCCTTTAGAGTCTCTGTGGCTTAATACTCACCCCTGATTAAGAAGATTGAGAATTTCACACTCAAATGGAAAACAAAAAACATGAGCTATGCGGGCAAATTAGAACTCACAAGTGAGGTGATTCAGGGCATCCAATCCTACTGGATTCAAGTATTTCCTATCCCGATTACTATCATTGAAAAGATCACAACCCATTGCAGACAATTCCTATGGGGTGGGTCAAACGCCAAAGTTGGTTGGGTGGATATTTGTAAGCCAAAGGATGAGGGAGGGCTTGGACTTTTTGATTGTAAAGCTTGTAATTCTACCATGCTTTCGAAAACACTTTGGGATATTCATGCTAAAAAGGATACGCTCTGGGTCCAATGGATCCATAGTGTATATCTTAAAGGGTGCTCTACCTAGGAATGGACTCCCCCTTCCCCCTCTGGTGATCCCAACTTTTCAACAAATTAATAAAAATTAGGGATACTTTGATCACTAAGCTGGGTGGACAACATAATACCATTCATAAGCTCTCAGATTTCTGCAACTCTGGAAAAGTACAAGCATCAAAGATTTATAATCTATTGCGAATGAAAGGGCAGAGTAAACCTTGGATGAAATTGATATGGAAGAATTATATTCCGCCAAAGTTTTCCTTTATCCTCTGGTTAGGACTTCAGAATAGACTCGCTATGTGTGATAATCTTTTGTATATTGACTTGGACAGAACCTGTTGCTTTTGTAAAGACCATTTGGAATCAGCAAACCATCTATTCTTTAATTGCTCCTTCACTGGAGCAGTTTGGAAGGGAATTAAGAGTTGGTTGAACATCACAAAAGATACCTCCACTCTCCTTAGTACCGTCAAGATGTGCATCAAACAGTACAAAAGTGCAAGGTTAAAGAGCAAGGTGATACGGTTAGCTTTTTGGTGTGCTGTTTACTTTATTTGGAAGGCTCGGAATGAGTACATTCTTAGTAAAAAATCAGTAACTGTTGAGGGCATAGTATCACAGATAAGATTACTTGTTTACTGTGTTTTGTTTAGGATTTATCATTTATCCCGCAAGTATGATAGCTTTTTGATCTTTTAGTCGAATGTTTTGGGTAGTTCTGTTTTGCTTGATGAATGTTTAATTGCTCGATGAATGTTTAATTACTAAGCAAAGTTTGTTTTACTTCAGACAGATAGGGGCTAGCCATGTAAACAGTACATTACTTTGTCATTTATATATTTACCTTTTATCCAAAAAAAAACTATTGAATTTATTTAGGGAAAACTATCAAATAAGCCCTCCATCTTTTAAAAAAAAATCAATTAGACCCTCATACTGAAAGTTCACTCAATTAAACCCTCAAACTTAATAAAAATTGGAAAAAAAAATTTAGTAGGTATCCTATAAATTCCCCGGTTAATTGTATGTGTATTGTGTGATGTGGCATTTTTTTATGTTTTTTATTTTCATTTTCCTTTCCTTTTTCTTTCCTTCCTGTTCAGCTATTCCCTTTCTTCTCCCCTGCGGCTTGCGCTTTCTTCCCTGCGTCTCAGCATCTCTGCAACTTTCTTCCTTCTCTATTTCTTTATTTTCCTAATTTTCTTCCCCCTAGTTTCCCGGCCTTCACCCTCCTCGCTGCGCCTCTTCTCTACCGTGAACTAGAGTCTACGGCCAAATTGAAGTTACGGATCTGGAAGTGGTCTTGAGGCTTCACACAGCACCGTTGCCGACCCAAAAGGCTCGACGGAGCATCTTCCCCGACTTCTAATGCATCGAATCGCGGAAAGGGGACAATCGGCGTGCGATAAATACTTGAGCATCTCCGGCGGTCTGGGTTTCTATCGGACTATGTGCAGTGCTAAGCCGGAAGACAGATGCTTAGCAGAAGAAAGAAGAAGGATGAGAAGAAAGGGTGGGTGGGTGGAAGAGGAAGAAAGGTGGAGGGAAAGAAAGGGGTGAGAGCCGAAGTTACTGCCATGATCCACAACGAATGAGCTGAAATCTAGGGGTGGGATTTTGGAACCGAGAACCGTAGAACCGATTGGAACCGAACCGTTAACAACATCTAGGAACCGAACCGTTAACAATTAATGCCTCATTTGTAGGAACCGAACCGAAGCGGGTTATAACGGTTCGGTTCCCGGTTCCTATAAAAAATATGTGCATGGAACCGTTAAGGAACCGTTATTAAAAAATAAAAAATAAAATAATATTAGTAGTAGTAGTAACAATAACAATAATAATATAATAGCAATAATAACCACCACCACAACAACAATAATAAAATAAGATATTTAACTAACAATTCTAATTTAATCAACGGAAAAGAAGTAATAAATATTGTACATGAGGTTGATATATACATTAAAATCCTTTCTACAAATCAAGTTTTGTTCCATCACATAAATTTTATAAATATAAAATAACCCAAATAACTTGTACTCCGTAGTTGATTGCACATATTTTACTTTACTATTTTTATAATATTTCTAATTATTAGATTTATTATGAATCAATAGAATGTGATAATATTTTTTTATATCTATACATGCAAACTCAATGTCTTTTTTTTTAATGTTTTGAAAGACTTGAAGTAGACGTCCTATTCTTGCTACTATGATGACGAGTAACCTTCATCGCTCCGACACTACAACGATTTTTAATGTTTCATTTATTACATGAAAAATTAAATCACTTTTGTTCTATTAAGTGTTCAAAGTTCATTAGTTAAGTTTGAGCTTTGATGTTTGAAGTGATTAGAGCTTCAAATAAAATTTTAATACTCGTGTTTTGAATTTTCGACGTGTTTAAAATTATGTGTTAATTCTTAGACGAGAAAAAATTATTCTAAGAACCGGTAAAAGGAAGAACCGAACCGTTTACTACCGGTTCGGTTCCATAACGGTTCCTGATTTTTTATATAGGAACCGAACCGATTTCATTAGTTAAAAATTTTACAACGGTTCCACTCATTTTGAGTAAGAACCGAACCGGTCCCAGCCCTACTGAAATCCGCTATTTAAATTTACAAAGTTCTGTTTTAAGTTGCTGGATTGATTAATTCGGTTGATTAATTAAAAAAAATTATTAATCAAATAAATAAAAGATTATATGAAAAATAACAAAAACAGTTCTCTACAGTAATTGCAGCCAATAAAGTCGGAAAAGTAACTTCAAACTTACTTTTTGTTATTATTACGCAATTGAGTGCGTGAAATCAAAAGTACGTGTTTGGTGAAAAAGTTGGCTGATAAGCCTGATAAGCCGAAAAACAGGGTTACCAAACGGGCTCTAAATGTTTATATTGTTCTCATGCTATATGATGACTTAGCGGTGGACGCAGGAATTCTCGCTAAGAGTGGCGGTAGGGTAAAAATATACATACAAATACAAAATAAACAACAACAATAGTAGTAGTATAATAGTATTAGTAGTAGTAGTAGTAGTAGTAGTAGTAGTAATAATAATAATAATAATAATAATAATAATAATAATAATAATAATAATAATAATAATAATAATAATAATAATAATAATAATAATAATAATAATAATAATAATAATAATAATAATAATAATAATAATAATAATAATAATAATAATAATAATAATAATAATAATAATAATAATAATAATAATAATAATAATAATAATAATAATAATAATAATAATAATAATAATAATAATAATAATAATAATAATAATAATAATAATAATAATAATAATAATAATAATAATAATAATAATAATAATAATAATAATAATAATAATAATAATAATAATAATAATAATAATAATAATAATAATAATAATAATAATAATAATAATAATAATAATAATAATAATAATAATAATAATAATAATTGATGGAAGTAAATCCACCGGAAAATAATTAATAAGAGATAGCCGAAAATAATTAAAGTGCTCAGGATAATCTTTAGAGAGATAAATGTATGTAGTGTATTCAGTGTATTGAGCTTGATCAACATTCCAAGGATTACATGATTTTATAGTAGAAAATAAGACATAAAAGATTTGGGCGACGTGGTCGCCATGTTCGTATTGATACGCAAATCACTAATCCGGATCCGCGGGATCCTTTGTTGATTGTGTGTATCTCTGAAAAGACGTCATTGATGTAGTTTGTCGTACGGAGTTGCCATGTAGCTTGCCATGATGTCCAGAGACACCATGCATAGATTATTTGGATAGGCTTCAACTACCATGTCCAGGGTCGCTGTGGACGCTCCTTTGGCTAAGGTACTTGATCGCGTCCATGGTTGCTGTGGACATGCTCTCTGGATAAGCCTACCCCGACATCCACGGTCACTGTGTAGTTCCTGATCTTCTATTAACTTGCGTCCACAGTCGTCATGTACAGTATTTTATCTTCTAACCCGCGCGTGGTCACCATGTACGAGCTCTTCTCATACCTTGTCATCATCCGTGCATAGTTACCATGCACATCAACCTCTAACTGTTTTCATCCATGTTAACCCGGTCAACATTTATCCATGGTTGGGATAATTATACCATCACAAGCCCCCCACTCCTTAAGCCAAATAGCATATTGGCTATAAGGAGTGTAGACACAGTTACCGTGTCAACCTTGAGCGTACATGGTCACCATGTCAACCTTTGTTATTTGCTTTTAACCCATTCAATCATTTAGTTTTTTATTTTTTATTTTTAACCAAAATGTACTCCATGACTCAAAATTAAAATTACTCTCACCCAATCTTCTGATTAGCTTTGCAGGTCACGAGCAGTCACATTTGCTCTATTCCAGGCCACAACCCGCCGTCAACCATCACTCGGTCAACGTCGCCCGCTGCGAGTTCAATTTTACCGGCGTCGCCGCCGACCACCGAACTCCTGTAGCCAAGCTTCTCACTATCGCGGGTCTCCTCTGTTCCGGGTCACGACCTGTCTGCTCCGTCATTCTAACCCATCTGCTGCCGCTGTGTGGCCTGTGTCACGGGTGCTCTAAGGTGAAGGTGCACCACTGACGTTACTCCTCTGTCGTCGGGCATCAGTGTAATTAAGAGATATTACGCACCATTCTCCGTCGCCGTCTATCCCTGTGCCATCGCCGTTCTCTTGCTCTAGATTTTGCGCCGCCGCTGCTGGGTCACGTACGCAATACGCAGGTAAGCTCCTTGCCTTCTCTTCCTTCCCTTTTATCTACTCTTATTTTGATTTTGATTTTATTTTTCTTTCCCCAAATACGTATAGCTAGGAATATCCTCATTAAAATTGCTCATGAAATTTGCTTCTACCACAGCTGCCTCGATTATGCTTCTCTCACTATTTATTTTGGTGACATCTTTTTTGAATGCTGTTTGTTTTCTCAATAGCTGCCTGCCACCATTCATGGACGTATTAAATTCCATAGATTCTGATGAATTATTGAGTGACGACGGGGAATTAGTGTTGGAGAATTTTCCCCATCCCTTTACAGAGGTTAATTCTGATGTTGAAGAAATTAGTCCCATAAAGCCACGAGCCGCTTCAGTCAAACCACCAAAACGTCGCTACCGTGGTCCGTATCCACCCTTAGACCCGAGCCCCATCTTACACTACAGGTCGTGCCTCTCAGTTTCCAAGTTTCAAAAGTATAAGAAATTTTTTCCGTCCACAGTGACTGTCCGATGTCCAGATTCGGAGGATATTGTAACCGATCCTCCTAAGGGTCACTTTTTCGGGGTGCATATTCTTTCCATAAAATTAGGATTCCGCTTTCCCACACACCCTTTGATTATCGAGTTTTTAAATGATCTTGAAATTTCACCTTGTCACTTGACTCCGCTCGGTCATCAATATCTGGTAGCTTTCCTGGTCCGGTGTGAGACACTTGGGATTGAACCGTCCCTAGACCTCTTCAAGCACATGTTCCGAGCTGGGCAGTGCTCGGCATCTGATAGTCTGTCCTGGGTGTCTATCTCTCAGCGTAACCACTTTGACATGTGGAAGGTCACTCGTAGCAACGAAGCCAATTGGAAAGAAGAATTTGTCTATGTGTCGTCTGGATCTCCGTTACCTTTTTCATCGTCTTTGAATTGTCGATTTAAGAAGTATTCGTACCCGAAACTTCCGGTTGACCAGGAAACATGGCCGGCTATGATTCTTTCTGGAGGACCGTATAGCCTCTCTGCCTTTACTTCCGAGGACCGCCTAACCACGGTTGGACTCTATTCGCCGTCACCATGTTCGGGTGCACACGCATCCACGTCCACGGATCAAGGTTGTCCACAGTTACTTTGTCTATAGGAGATAATACACACATATATATATTAACTAACACATATGCATACCCTTTTTTTTTTGCAGATATGACATCGCGGTTGGAGATGTTCCAAAGCTTCGACCAGGATGGGCCTCGCGGTAGTGACCAGGGGCGCTCTGACAAGAAACCAAGGGTTCCCTCCGTCACAAAAGGCAAGGATGCCATTGTAACTGTGCCTTCATCCATTGCAAAACGCAGGGCCGCTAGCCCCGCAGCCCGTGTCACCCGTAGCATGAGTGATATTCCCACGGCGGGGATGACTACTTGGTTACGAGGTAACATTGAGTTACCTCCGCTCTTATCACAGGTGATCACGGCGACTGAGAAGGAGAAAATTTCAACACTTGACCATGCTGCTTTAGAGAAGAGGAGCCACCATGGCCTGGCCGAGGTAACCCTCCCATTTCCCCGTTACCTTTTATTTATGCATCTCGTGATACTAATTTTTTTTTCTTTTCTTTTTTGTAGCTACTGTTGTCCATCTCCGAGGTGAACCGAAGGAAAGATGAGCGCGAAAAAGATTTGTCGCTACAACTCACCGAATTAGCGAAGGAGGTGGCATCGCTCAAGCTCGTGCGTGACTCACATGCAGTCGAGGTCACTGTGCTTAAAGAAATGCACGCCGTGGAGTTGGCCAATGCAAGGGGGCGGGCCGTGGATGCATACAAGAATTCTCCAGAGTTCGTGTCTGATCAGGAAGCATACATTAATGCCCACTTGAACGATATTAGCAAGCATTGGTTGTCTACTCCGGAAGGTCGTGAGAAACTGGCCTTAGAGAGCTACATCTCCTACCAGATCGGGATATATGCCACTCAACAGAAAGTATATCCTATCTTGAGGGATAAGGCTGGTACCTCTTGCATCACTGATTGGGGACTTCCTCCTGAGGTTCCCAACCCTGAGATCCCGGTAGCCAACACGCCCCTGGACTATATTCCTTTTGACAGACTCCCCACTGATGAGGAGCTTGGCGATCTTCCTTCCGAGACAGATCACCCAGCTTCGACTGCTTCTGTGCCTTAGAGCATGCATGGGAGTGACGGATGGACGTAGTGTAGACTTTAATTCTGTCATGTCTTCAATTACGAGTACCTGAATTGCTAAACATGTTTTGAATTTCATAAAATAATAATGATGCATGTCTTATTTTCCTTTCGCTATTGTTTTGTATTATCGCATAATTAATTATTTGACCAACATTTAGGTTTTATGAGACCACGATGTGACCATGCCTTGTTTGGCATGGTTTGTGTGATCATTCATAGTAGTGTACGGTGATACTACACCAAGTGTATAACTTTGGTGCATTTATCGCCCCGTATCTGCCTAATTTTCAATTGAGGCATTGTGCATTTAGATAGAGTGACTGAGGACAACGATAGGCACAAGGTGTCATTGACACCTCCTCCTTCGCTACATTGCGCGCATCACTTATTCCCAAAAAATAGGACTAAGTGAGCGAACCTAACACCTGAGTGACTTAGGCTTGCTCTGGGGCACACAACGTTTTTTGGGAAACATGGCCGCTATCCGATATATTTCACAGATGCATCCTGACCATACAACCCTGAGGGTTACGCATTTGTTGGGATCAATTTGCAATGTATCCTCGTCCCCTTTTTAGGGGCGAGTCTACACCCCTTGCGTGTTGAGAATTTTAGCTATGTCATAGGAGACATGCCTGACTACTTACTAGTTTTTTATTTCATTTTTTTTTTCGTTTTTTTCGTTTTTTTTTTTCTTGTTTTGGGTGAGTTTTACACCCACGGTGTCCTTGGATGACACCTTGTAGTTTGTTTTTTGTTTTGGGTGAATTTTACACCCCTGGTGTTCTTGGACGACACCTTTTTTTTTTTTTTTTTTGCGGCCAAGGACTGCCATTATTCACTCTTGTGTGGATCAAGGAGATCTCTTATTTGAAAACAGTGGATGGAAAAGGACCGCGTTTACCACCATACGTGGTTACCATACATCATAATCATCAGGTGGAGTATCAGTGATAAATTTTCAATGGTAAAACTTGAGCAAGTGTTCTGCGTTCCAAGTCCTCTCAATTTCTTTTCCCTTCGGTGTCTGGAGTTTGAACGTCCCTGGACGGATCACTGATTTAATCACGTAAGGGCCTTCATAATTTTTGGCAAATTTCCCCCCTTCCAAGGGTTTGCTGACCTCCCTTTTTCTCAAGACATAGTCCCCAACTTCAAAGTGGCGTTTGCGAACTCGAGAATCATGGTATCCTTTCACCTGCCTTCTATAGTTCTCTGCACGGCAGAAAGCCGCTTCTCTTCTTTCTTCAATAAAAAGAAGCTCGGTCGCCATGACCTCCTCGTTCGTCTCGGGGTCATATTCCTCTTCTCGGCGGCTATGGAGAATTACTTCCGCAGGTGCCCTCGCCTCGAAACCATATGTCAAGGCGAATGGTGTCTCCCCTGTGGCCTTTCTTGGTGTGGTCCTGTATGCCCAGAGTATCTGTGGTAGTTCTTCAGCCCACTCCCCTCCGGCAGCTTCCAGCTTTTTCTTCAAACCGTCCATGATCGTGCGGTTTGCATTCTCCACTTGGCCATTTGCTTGGGGATAGGCAACTGACGCATTGCTGTGTTTGATCCCCCAACTCTCACAGAATTCGTTAAACCCAGACGCCCCGAATTGCCTCCCATTATCGGTTATGATCTGTTGGGGTACTCCAAAGCGACAAAGGATGTGCTTCATGACAAATTTTCTGCATTGCCCTTCAGTGATGCTTGCTAGGGGTACTGCTTCTATCCATTTAGTAAAATAGTCAATGGCAACGATAACCCATCTCACGCTCCCTGTTCCCCTTAGTAAGGCACCAATGAGATCTATTCCCCACCTTGCGAAAGGTATAGCCGTGCTGATGGGGGTGTAGTTGGTGGCTGGACGTCCCGGAGATTTCTGGAACTCTTGACACACCACACACCTCTTGACAAATTCAGCGCAATCCTTAACTATGGTTGGCCAGAAGAAACCTTGTAGGATTACCTTTCGGGACATGGTGTGTGCTCCTTGGTGAGCTGAGCATATCCCTGCATGTATCTCTTCCATGGCGACCTTGGCCTCATCTGGTCGTAAGCACTTGAGAAGCGTGCCATTGTAAGACCTCTTGTACAGTTTCTCATTCAAAATGGTATAACTCGGCGCCCTCATCTTAGTCACCTTGGCCTCAACCTCCTCCGCGGGCAGCACTCCCTCGTTGATATACTTGATGAGGCAGTCAATCCAGTCTGCGTCCCTCGTGGTTATGGCCTGGACAGGGCACGCATATATGCTGGAAGTGTCCAACTCTTCTATCCTTGCAATCTTTGAAATCCTTTCCGGTGTCTCTGCACTTAATATGGATAACATGTCTGCTTCGACATTTTGCGCTCTTGGTATCTGTTCAATTTCATAGGCGATGAACAACTTCAGAAGTTCCAGGGCAGCGTCACGATATAGCCGCATCCGTTCTTCCTTCGCCTCAAACTCCGTCGTGATCTGTCCAACCACTAGTTTTGAATCACACCGTATCTTGACCTTCTCCGCCCTCATGTTTGCCGCCAAGCGTAGACCACATAGTAGAGCCTCGTACTCTGCTTCATTATTCGACACCTTGAAGTTGAACCGGATAGCGTAATAGGCCCTGAAGCCTTCGGGCGTGGTGAGGACCACCCCTCCCTCGCAAGATTTAGCCGCGGAGGAGCCATCCGTGGACAATATCCACCACTCTTGTTCATCGTCGCCATGCTTCATCTTCGTTGCTTCCTCCCGCGCTGTGCATTCTACTATGAAATCTGCAAGAGCTTGCCCCTTGATGGAAGGTCTTGGCTTCACCTCTATATGAAATTGACTTAGATACACTGCCCATTTGATCATCCTCGAGGAAGCCGTGGGACTTCTCATTAAGGCACCCAGGGGTTGGTGTGACAGTACATGGACAGGGTGAGCTTGGAAGTATTGTGTGAGCCGTTTGACCGTCCACACCACGGACAGAACAGTTTTTTCTATGGTTGTGTACCGTAGCTCAGCGTCCCTCAAAGTTTTGCTTACGTAGTAAACGGGTCTCTGGACGCCGCCATCTTCACGCACCAGGACAGAACTAATTGCACTTGGTGAAACCCCTAGGTATAGGTATAATGTCTCCCCCGCCTCAGGTTTGGACAAGACAGGAGGAGACAAGAGGTAGTTTTTCAATCCCTCGAATGACTTTTGGCACTCCTCAGTCCATACGAAACCCTTTGATTTCTTCATGATGTGGAAGAATGGCGTGGCTTTCTCTGCTAGTTTTGATAAGAAGCGGTTCAAAGCCGCTAAGCGTCCCGTCAATCGTTGCACTTCTTTGACATTACGAGGAGGTTCCATTTCGAGTATGGCCTTGATTTTCTCTGGATTTGGCTCGATTCCTTCTTCTACTCACCAAGTAACCCAGGAACTTCCCTCCTTGGACGGCGAACGTGCACTTCTTTGGATTGAGACGAAGATTGAACTTCTCCATGATTTTGAACACCTCTGCCAAATCCACGGCATGCGTACCTGCTCTTTTACTCTTCACAATCATATTATCCACGTAGGCCTCCATGGTGCGGCCTAGGACAGGTCGAAAAAGTTTAGAGATCATGCGAGTGTACGTTGCCCCAGAGTTTTTCAGTCCAAACGCCATGACTAAGTAACAGAAAACACCCTCTGGAGTCATGAATGAGGTCTTCTCTGCATCCTCCTCATGCATGCGAATTTGGTGGTATCCACTGAAAGCATCCATGAAACTCATCAATTCACACCCCGCTGTCTCGTCCACCAATTGGTCGATGTTAGGCAATGGGAATGGATCCATCGGGCATGCCTTGTTTAGGTCAGTGTAATCAACACACATCCTCCACGTTGGGGGTTTAGGTGCCAATACCACATTTGCCAACCATTTTGGGTATTTTACCTCCTTGATGTGGCCGATTTTTAACAAGGTGCCCACTTCTTTCCTTACGAATTCCCGCCTGTCCGAGGACATGTAACGTTTCTTTTGTTTCACCGGTTTTGACATAGTGTCCACATCTAGGCGATGAGAGATGACATCTCTACTGATGCCTGGCATGTCCTCTGGTCCTCTTGCAAATATGCCTTGGTACATAGTCAGGACGGTTATGACCTCAGCGCGGAGCTCAGCTGACAATCCGGTGCCTATCTTAACCTTGCGCTCTGGGGTTGCAGGGTCAAGGGTGACCTCTTCTGTCCCTTCTGCTGGTTCAGCACGGGGTCTTCGCTCTTCATCTTGTAGGTATTGTGTGGCCACAGTGTTTACCTGGAGGCCATGCCGCCCCACCTTCTTTGTGATTTTTATGTAGCATGTTCGGGCGAGCTTCTGGCTCCCGCGTGCTATCCCCACTCCGGTTGGTGTTGGGAACTTAATACAAAGATGTGTCGGGGACATAATGCACTGCAAATCTTCCAGGCCTGGCCGTCCGAGTATAAGATTATGTGCACATGTCAGTCGGACAACTACGAACTCCATGTTGAGTTTCACTTTATGGGATGTGTCCCCCACCTCTACCGGGACCGTGACAACTCCCTCTGCCTCGATAGAGTCACCCGTGAACCCAGATAACGGGGTTTTTATCGGATGGAGTTTTCCTTTGGACAACTTCAGTTTCTCGAAAGTGTCGAGGTACATTATGTTAACGGAACTTCCAGTGTCGACCAGGGTACGGTGTATGACAAGATCATTGATCTCCATTTTGATAACCATGGCATCCCGATGTGGGCTTGGACATGGTGGTAGGTCATCATCAGTAAAGCATATAGGTTCACGTCGTACCTTCTTTTTCATTGGAGAGTGCATGATCTCACCAATGTACAGTTGACGAGCCCATTTCTTTCGAAGGGACGAAGAGTCCCCGCCTGCATTACCTCCATAAATGAAATTGATGTCATGGTTCCTCTTGTCTCGCTTCGGCCCTGGCTCATCCGAGGCATCCTCGTCACTCTCATTTCCAATGTGTCTTTTCTCTGCCCTTCGGGTCTCCGGCTGCGTGCATGCCACTTGTTCTGATGATTTCCGCCATACATGGTTGGGTTGCTGTGCAGCCCCTTTGACGAAATTACTCAGATGGCCTCTTTGGATCAATCTTTCAATCTCGCGTTTCAAGGTAAAGCACTCCTCCGTGTCGTGATTATC